CTCTTCTAGAACATGGCCACACATCCCGAAAAACCCACAAAAAACTAACAAACACAAATCTTTTGAGATCTAATATCCTCAAATAGATTACAGTATATGATGGTAGAATTAAAAGATATAGCTGTGTTAATTTGTAGAATCAGTATGTAGAGAGATCTTGTAGCATCTTTCAGACTTGGTGCTACAAGATCTCTCTACATACTGATTATATGATGGTTTTAAGTTTGATTGTGTGAGAAAGGATGAAAAATTTATTCTCTACTTTGGAAAATATATACAGTCGCCCCTCTGTTCTCATGGATTTGAAGTCCACAGTTTTGCATATTCACAGAGGAGCAGCCTCCGCTAAAATCAGTGGGGCACACCCCATTCAAGCTTATAGAGCTTGAATATTGGCAAATCTCCATTTTTGTGGGGTGGTGGTGGTCCGGAATGGATCCCCTGTGAAAATGGAGGGCTGATTGTACTCTGGTTGCAAATGGGATTTGCTGACCTTCTTAACACCCCAAATCTGCTGCCTGAGATAGATGTCTAATGTTGATTTGCCTTCCCCCCATTGTCAGTTTCAGCCTTGTCCTGTGATGTGTCCTTTCCTCCCTGCCCCCCTTCATCTCACGAGGCTGAACCCATGTGATAAGACCTTGAGAGAAGCAGATAGAGAACTGTGTCTTAAAAGCCATGAAAATAGGAAGTTAAAATTTCTCTGTCCCATCACCCTGCCTATCTCAAGGAAAATGGAGAAAGGGAAGAAATTAAACAGTATTAAAGCAGAGTTACTTTCTTTAAAAGCCAAAGTGGAGAATGATGGGGTGGTTGGTCCAACCTGCAGAAGTAGGGCACTCCTACACCAGAAGTAAGCCAGCATAGTGTAATGGTTTGAGTGTTGGACTACAATTCAGGAAACCTATTGGTGAGCTTGGGCAAGTCACACATTCTCAGCCTCAGATGATAGCCATGGCAACCCCCCCCTGAAGAAACTTGCAAAGAAAAATCCAAGATTTCATGGCCTTAGGGTCACCATAAGTCAGAAATGACTGTTAGGATGGAGTCCCTGGGGGAAAATGTCCAATGTGGTGGAAAGCAGCAGCCATCGATTAGTTTCTAATAGAACTTAGTTAAAACACGAATCTAAAATCAGGAAACAAAAGAATATATACAATTAAATAAAGTTTGAGACTAACTACTAACAACTGAAAAGTTATACATTAGATGAAAGAAGGGTGTAAAATAGATTTCGCAAAAAATAACGACAACAAACAGTTTAGGAAAATCTCAATTTACTCATATAATTTACTAGGACAACACTCACCTAAGTTGTACAAAATTAATATAATAAAATAAAATTTACACAAGCAGATCAACAATATAAAGAGTCAAAAAGCTTCATAAAAATGGTCAAGATAGAATAGGTAAACAAGGAAGGACGCTATGTACAAAATATAATCCATGAAGTAAGTGAGAAGTCGGTATGCTTGGGAAGATAGATGATTTGAATGTATGTAGTAGGATGTTTTAGAGTTAAGAAAGTAGGTGGGAAAGAAACTAGAAATTAGATTTAGAGAAAGATATAGGAAAGCAGCAGCCACGATGAGTCAGCATTTGGCCACTGCCGAGTCATGCAGACTCATGCTGAATCACAGATGTGACATGAAGGTAGTCATCTGGTGCTGGAAAGCACACCAAGCTGCTGTGAAACTGCTGCAAAACTGCAGTGTCACTCAGATGAGTGACAGGTGGCCAACAGGAAGAGTCAGGGCCTGAATGCCATGTGGAGGCATGGCTATATAAGGCACAAGCCTCTGGATACATGTGTGGTGTTGTTGATGTGGAAGTGGTGTAGTCATGGATGGTGTGGTATGCATTACTGTGGTTCACGTCGGAAGATTACTGTACATAGCTTTGTACATAGAGCAACAAAGATTAAAGACTCCTTTGAGAGATGCCTGTCTGTGGAGTCTCTTTACTTGGTCTGGAAGGGGAGAAGTGCTTCTCCAGCTGCCAAGCTGCCTGCTTCATCGGTGAAAATCTGGATCCTGGTGCTGCACGTCTACGTGGTCTTCACACGCTGCGTAACCACGCTAACAATGACTTGAAGGCACACGACAATAGTACCAACAAATCTCTTCCCCAAATTATGTGCAATACATATTTTCCCCAAATTCTGTGCAATATGCTAACATCAACCAAAATGGGACTAGTAGGTGCAAACTTTGTAGTATCTGAGAAACTTTGATGTGGAAGGCCATGGCAACCCTCTTCAGGAGGAACTTACCAAGAAAACCTAATTATAGGTTTTCCATAGAGTCGACATAAAGTTGAAAACAACTTGAAGGCACACAGCAACAACAAACCAGAAGTAGAGGTGCCACATGAAATAAGGACCAGGTCTCCTATCCCTTTAATTGTTAGACAGGAGAAGGAATTTCAGCAGGTGTTATCTACCTGACAACCAACACCTGCTAAAATTCCCTCTTCTACACAGCCAATAAATCCTGCTCCTTCTTTCTCCTTGCAACCCTAATATAGTAGAATCCCTGGATGGCTGCTGCCACATTGCAGAATTAATGCAGTTTGACACTGCTTTAATTGCCATGGCTCTATATCCTATGGAATCCTGGGATTTGCAGTTTGTTGTAGCACCACAGCTCTCAGAGAGAGAAGGTAAAATTGCTCACAAAACTAGAAATCTCCACATTCCACAGCATTAAGCCATGACAGTCACAAGAGTGTCAAACTGGATGATTTCTGCAATGTAGATATAGTCTACATTAGGGAAATAAGTAAAATATTTTTACTAATGATTGGGGTGTATAAAGTTCCATCAAAGAGTAAAGTACTATAAAAACTTTCTTCAAGTGTTGTAAAATTTGCATCCTGAGTAAAAAGTCCCACTGTTAAATGGCTAATCCAGGAATTAAAAAACAAAACAAAACCAACACATATAACATAAGGACTGAACAATTATTCCCTGTTCTCCATTAGCAAAGCATACTAAGAAGTTTGACCTGGATGGAGACAGTCAACAGGGTAGGAGCAGAGGTGCATTTTTAAAATGTAAAATCAAATGTTAATACCTTTTTCTTTCAAAAAGCCCAGGTGTTCCTCTAGTTGAAACCTTATCCCAACAGCTCACCAGGTGAGTTCTATTTCTGATCTTGTAGACACCTCATTACATCTTAAAGCAACATGTAGATATGATTTTGAAATCAAACCTTCTCTGCTCTTGCCTAATTCTGTAACATCTTGCCAGATAAAATCATATTAATATCTCAAAACCTTGCACACAGCTTCATATATTATCTATCATGAAAGCCCAGCTATAAGTGTTTTTCAAAGTTTTCTAATATTTCAACCACAATTTGATTTCCTGGGTGGACTGAAAGTGCCTTTATACTTTCCCCTCCTCATCTAAACAAATTTATATCACAAATCTTCAGGTATGTGTATGTGAAATCACACCACCAATTGAAACTGGATTATTGGAGACAAGGATCCTGAGGAAGACAGGCACGATTGTCCAAGAGGAGGAGAAAGTCAAATAAATAAATATATCAACAGTTGGGATCTAACTGTTATACAATACCAGAAGTGTGCATGATACACACACACACTTCTCTCTCTCTCTCACACACACACAATATAATAAATGTATATATACACACACAAACACAAGTCAGCATGGTGTAGTGGAAACCCATTGGGTGACCTGTGGCAAGTCACATTCTCTCAGCCTCAGGGGAAGACAATGGCAAACCTCTGAACAAATCTTGCCAAGAAAACCCCAGGATAGCTTCACATTAGGGTCAACATAAGTCAGTAATGATTTGAAGGCACACAACAGCATGGGGTTTGAGTGCTGGACTATGATTCTAGAGACCAGAGTTCGAATCCCAGCTTGTCCACAGAAACCCACTGGGTGACATTGGGCAAGTCATGCCCTCTCAGCCTCAGACAATGATAATGCCAAACTTTATCAGATTAAAATTGCCAAAAAAACTCCGGGATAGGCTCGCCTATCAATTTGGAAGGCACACAATGACAACATCAAAATAAACAAAAATACTGTACACACACATATAACATACCGTACATTATTTTTGTTTATTTTGATGTTGTTGTTGCCTTCAAGTAATTTCCCACTTATGGCGACTCTAAGGTGATTGCTATGCAGAGGGGAGGGGTATAATAATAATAATAATAATAATAATAATAATAATAATAAT